GCGCGGCGCCAGCACCTTGACGCCCTTCTCCATCCAGGCGATCCTCAACAAAAAGGAGGAGCGCGGCGGGCTGGCCGCGCCGGAGGGGCGTCCGTTCCCCGGGGGCACGGCGGTGGCGGTGGCCGCGGCGCCCGCGGTCTGCTGCTGGCGACTCTTTGGGGAGACTGACGCGAGCGCGCTGGGGGGCGCTGAGGACTCTCTACTGGCGTCTCCTGCTGGGACCAGAACCGCTTCGGCACGGACCGCGGAGAGCCCAGGGGGCTGGGACTCGGACTCGGCTCTCAGCGAGGAGAACGAGGGCCGGCGGCGCTGCGCGGACGCGCCGGGGGCCAGCGGGGCCTGCCGCTCAGGGGGAGCCCTGGGCCTCGGCCAACCCGTCTGCGAGTTGCCCGCCTCCAAGGACCTGGAGGAGGAAGTCGCAGGCCGGAGCGACAGCGAGATGTCGGCCAGCGTCTCAGGTAAGAGCGCATTCCGGGGAAGAGGACTGGGCATGGGATGGGCTGGAGGGACCACCTGGCCGGCGCGCCGGGCCTGCTGTGGGCCCTGGGTCTCGAGGTTGGCCAAGTCCAGAAGTTCCAGCGGCGCGGGGTGCTGCAGCCTGCACCCTGATGGAGAAGATCGAGGATCCCCTTCGGGCCCGCATCGTGGGGCGAGGTCTGAGGCAGCGCCTTGAACCTAGTAGGGAGAGAAAGGCTGCTCCCTGAGCTGGGGTTTAAAGGTGAAAGGCTTGGAGTCGATCGCCATTGCCTATGGCCATGTGTGTCTCCAGAGCCCCCAAATCAACAAAGGGGACAGGGAGGGGTCCAGAGAGTTCAGGGTGCTAGTGCCCTACTCTTGGTCCAGAGACCTGCTGGAGTCCCAGGGCTCGGTGTCTCGGCTGGGATCGACAGCCGAGGAATCGGTGGGCCAGAGCAGGATGTGCAGAGCGGAGCTCTGGGGGAGGGCTGGGTTCGCGTTCCCGGGCGCAGGGCTGGGAGAGAAGCAGCAGCTGGAGGAGCCAGGGCTGGAGGCAAACCCAGCGGCCGGTTGAAGGCAGGGGCTTGAATTGAGGTCATCTCATCTTCAGCCGGGAGAGGGGTCCCCTCGGCTGTGGGCTTGGGGCGCTTGGTTGGAAAGACCCCAGGGTCTCTCCTGGCTCAGGGCACTGAGCTGCGTGCTCTACTGGCCCCGCTGAGCGCCAGCGCTGTACTGGGGTGCTTCTGGGAGAGCTGGAAAGGAGCCGCTGGTGTCAGAACAGGATTCAAGCTCAGTACAGGGCAACCCCCTCTCCAACCCCCAGCCCCAACCTTTCTCAGATCTCCCTGCAAAGAGGGGGAGAGATGCTCACTTGAAGCCTTTGGGCAGCCTGTGGCCATAGCCCTTGAAGCAATCCTTGAGAGCTGGAGACGTACTGAATACCCCGGCCTCAGGATTGACCCCACCTTTCCTTTACCTGCTCCGGAGATGTGCGTGCATGAGGAGGTGTGTGTGTGGAGACGTGAGTATGGGGAGTCAGGTGAACCCAAGCAGAGACAGAGCTCAGAGCGGAAAGGGCTTGTGGATGTTCAGGCCCAGCGTGCCTCGCTTCTCGGGAAGCCTGAGGCCCAGAAAGGGTGAGGAGCTGGACACACACCACCGACACAGCGGCCCAAAGCACAGGAAGCCTAGATGGAGGAAGCTGGGGAGGTCGGGCTTCAGGGCCGGCCTCTCCGCGAACCTCGCCACCGCCCTTCCTGCTGCGACCCCTGCTTTTAGGGTAGGTCCCACCGGCTCTGCAGGCACTGACAGTCTCTTGTTTCTGTTCCCACTGGGGTCCGCAGGCGACCACAGCCCGAGGGCGGAGGACGACGGAGTTGGCCCCGGAGGTACGCGCTTGCCGGTTCTTTGCAGCGGGGCTGGAGGCGGAGGCGGCGGCGGCGCCGGCGGCGGGCCGGACGGCTGCGTGGAGGAGGAGGAGGAGCCCGCGGTGCCGAAGCCGAGGAAGAAGCGCTCGCGGGCCGCCTTCTCTCACGCGCCGGTCTTCGAG